TATAAAAATAAGTTGAAAAAGGCTTAACTCATCAGATGGATAAAAATACAAATACTACAAATACAAGTGGATGTGGCCGGGTACTAGTACATCCCAACAACAAAAAGACACTAAATACAGATCTGAGAGTACTCTCAGTTACTGACAGCTATTTCAAATCCACTAACAACTAATACAAAAAATCATGCATCTAAGACCAAACTATCAATCAGTACACATCCAACATCCAATGGATTTAGTGTAAAGATGTCATACACAGTCAGAGAAAAACATGACCTTGTGCAATGCCAAGATACAGGTTATAATTCATTACATATCAATATAATTAATTCGCATGGTAGTGTTTTAATTTGTACAGATCACAATTGAAAACTTTTATATATGATAAAATCATTCTTGACAAACTTTCAAATATCGATAGCAGTTCAAAACTCTACCTTTATAGTAAATTAAAAAATGATATTTAACTGCAAGACTACTTGAACAATAGACTACTTGCACAATCTAAACTATTTAAATAGTCCCCAACTTTTAACAAAATTCTGTGTAAGTGACTCTAACTTGGAAATTGAAATTATAAAAAGGTTGATATAAAAAAAAATCAAAGAGAACACAGAGTCTTAAGTTTGTAAAATATTAGATGATGAGGAACACTCTTTCCTTCATTGCCAAATCAACAGTAATATTAGAAAACTCCTTATGAATGCAATAAAAACCCAATATTCTAATTTTAACCAGATTGACTCAAACTCTTAACTATTTTAGATCCCAATAACAATGATACTTTTTGATTATTTCTCAGATTTAACAAAAAGATATAACTAAGTATAGCCTTTTAAATTTATCCGTATATTTCAGATACTGAGTGTTCTCTCTCAGACTCTGATGCTACCGTTTCATGGAATGAAAAAGGCAATTAATGCATAGGTAAGAATATATTTTAAAAGTTTTTACAATTCTGATTCACAGTACCAAGGATACTATACAAATCCTTGACAGTACCTTTTAAATTTTTGCTTGAAGAATTTTTGGGTCAACATTTGATTGTTTCTCATATTCTGGCTAGAGTGATTGATCTTTTAGACTTGATTTAGTTGAACTGTTTAGAATATTCATTCAGATTTTATTTTAAAGAAGTTCACAGCATATATATACATACCCTTTTCGAATGAAAATTGACATGTGCAAGAATTTTTCTCTCAAAAAAGTGTTACACATATGCATGGCATATTACACCCTTGCGTTTTAGAGTTTTACTGTTGGTAGATATAAGAAGATGTGGTATGAGTGCCAATGAGACAACTCTCCATCCAAGTTCCAAGTCACAATTTATAAAAGTAAACCCTGTTGGGCCCTGCATTTGAGTTGTTTTCCTTAAAACAATGCAAAAATATCTAAAATTGGAAATTTAAAAATGAATTAATCTAGAAATTAATAAGATATCGTATATATAATATTATAAGATATCTATAAATGTCTTGTTTAGTTAATTACAGTTGGGTGCAGACCAAGCATTACATAAAGTAAACGCAAGTTAACGCCGCGTGCACATATTTCGTTAGTTAACATCAATTTTCGCGTTTACTATAATTACGTTAACGCGGTCAAATTGGAAATTTCTAATGTCTACCCGAGTAAACGGGCGTTTACTCTGTGTCCGTTTAGTCAGTAGTAAACGGGCGTTTACTTCAGATTTCACAAATTTATTTTTACGTGCACTTAAAAGTAAACGGGCGTTTACTACAGATTTCATTAATGTATTTTTACGTGCACTTGGAAGTAAACGCGCGTTTACTACAGATTTCAATAATGTATTTTTACGTGCACTTGGAAGTAAACGCGCGTTTACTTTTCGCGTTAACTGATCGTGTAAATTAAGAAATAAACTTCGTGTTCATTTGAACATTTATTTTATTAAAACGACTGTTATCTTAATACTTTACGTATATGTGTTTCAAACTATTCAAAAACACTTAATTTATTTTAATTCGAAATATTAATTTTATTAAATTTAAAAAAAAATAGTTCCTATAACTTTACTGATAAGCAGATTTTCTATATATTCTTTTCAAAAGTTACATGTACAAATATCGAGGCCGATAGAAAGGTTATCCAACACATCGGAAAAATAGTTGTATATGATGGGATATAAACATCATTGTTTACGTTGCTTCGTTCCACATTTTTAACTGTCTCTTCGAATTCCTAGCTCGATGCATTTAATACATTATTTTTAATCGTAATTCACATGGATTTACATGATTTCAGCTTCTGTTTTGTCAAATGTTCAAACGGAAATTGTACAGTGTATTGCAAGGGATATTAATAAAGTGTTGTATAAGTATGTACATTTGTACCATCTCTTCAATTTATACAGACTTATCCATAACGATTATAAATGATATTTGTGACGTCCGAAAAATATACTCGATTTGGACATGAATGAAATATTGCCACTGGACGTTATGCTACAAACAAAATCAATCAACTTACATAATATATTAACAAAGAGGGGATAGGACCTTTATCGGGACTCCGGGATCGGGTATTTTTAAGCTCAAGATTTAGGGATTGACCGTTTCCAGATCCGGGAATTCTTTTTTCGAATTTCGGGATGTCGGGATTTAAATTTATTTAAATTCGGGACCTCGGGATTTCGTGTTTTTAAGCCCTGGATTTCGGGACCAGTACCCTTCCTACCCACCATCTCTTAACAGTATACTATTCCAAGAAGAGAACTACTCATACTTTTCATTATTAAGTACAGTGTACATAAATCACTCATGTGAGTGTAACTGTTGAATGATGCTGTTAAATAGTTTTGTTTAAAATACAAACCATCACGAACTACTGACATAAAAATATTACTGATTTACTATGTGACTATAAGATTTACACAATAAAGTACAAATATGGTCAGTTTTGGTTGATGTGGACAATTAATTTTGTTATGCAAGTCAGTCTGAGGTATGAAAACTTCTGATATTTGTTTACAACTCAATATTTTGATTAAAAAGAGGACATGCTGGCACTCTCAATTGATGCGAACATTTTTTTTAGTCATTATGTGCCAATATTGCTATCATTTGTGTATTCAATCCATCCTTACATGAAAATATAACTCATTTACTATGCGGCTATGAAGATTGATGCAGACAAATTATTTTGTTATACGAGTCAGTTTGAGGTATTAATACTTCTAGGGAGGTCACCAGTGCGATTATCGTAACGTAATGATTTCCTTGCGACGGCAAAAATATCGGATTTTACCCAAGTTCAACTGCTTTGAAAAAGGAAAAAAATATATTGTATGAGCAAACAATTGATATGTAATTAAAGTTCAGACATTTATCTTTCTAAATATATAAGTTTTATGGGTATTGCAGTGATTTGGTTCGATAAAAAAAATGTTTGAAGTGGAGTTGTTTTGAAAAAAATGGCCGCCGGAAAAACTATGTGTCAAAGGTACTACTGATTTTGAAATTCATTCCGCAAGCTATTACTCGTCAGATTTTCTTCATTGATGGCTTATAATTTTGGAAATATATTCAAGTTTTATGATCCGGTTGTCAGTCATACTTAACGGTCGATTTTCAGTATAGATATGAAAAATCTTTGAAATAGATGTGAAAAAAAAAATCGTTTTCGTCTTTGTAAACACCACTGACACTCGGATTCATAAATTCCAGAACTCTCTCCTTCCACACGTATCCATGGTTTCACATGGAAAACAATAGCGGCTTGCGGAATTGATTGGATATTTGTATGAGCAGGGCGTGGTTTTCACGCAAAAAATCTGCGAAAAGAGTTATCTGTTCTTGACTTCCGGAAGTGACGTATCCGCCATTGTGTCTAACATGAAACATGAAACTTGTAACAAAATGACTTTTACCGACTATTTTTTGGACGGACTGCTTACTGAGAGGACAGACAACGTTGGAAATAGGCCACGGAGGCCAATCACGTAAGGTAAGTACCTTTTATTATATCTTATATTAGCAAATTTGCCATATTTCAGGGAGGGGAATTCCTTGTTTCATAAAAGTCAACAAAAATAACTTTAAATTATTTCCAGGATGTATTTTTTTGTTTAAATATATTAAACTTATAAATTGAAAGGGAGTTTCTACCAGCAATTTTTTTTAAACGCTCCCCATGGCCTTTTTATCAAGCTATGAATATGTAATGAGGTAAATTCTCCTAACGTTGGAATGTGATCCATTCGGAATTTCTCTGGTTTTATTCATTGATAATACTCGGATTTTTCGGTGCTTTACATTGCAGTTGATGATAGTTGGTATAATTTGAACACATTACATTTGTTTTTTTCATTTTGAGACAGGAATATGTTGTTCAAACCATAGATTAGTATATTACCAACTATATATTTATTCTAAACTTATGGATTAGGCATAATGAACTAAAATTTTCTTTTTCAAAAATGCTTTCTGTCAAAAAATGTATACATATGACAGTTTGGAAGAATATTTGCACACATTTATACATGTACATTAAAAATTTATATTTATGATTTTTCAACAGTAGCATGAGTATGTTATTTTAACTAATTGGTCATAATAAACAATATTGTAGATGTTTTCTTAAATATGCACACTGTTTATAAAGAAATTTAGTTGATATTTGCATCTTTCATTTATATTTATATTCAAACTTTTGATTTTCTTCCTTGACTTTTGAATTTAATAATTGTCACTTTTACTTTATTATGTAATTTAATATTGATGCCTATTAACTGACAGTTAAGTTATTAACAGAATTGCAGATGCTGTGTTTACTTATAACACATGTACCTTATGACTACCTACAAATATGATCAGGGTTAAAAATCTGTTTTCCTCTGAACAATTTTTGTATTAAAATAATAAAAATTCAGATTATTTGAAATTTGATTGAATTTGTTAGTCTATTATACAATACAGTTTTGTTGTGTTTATAGGAATGATACTGTCTGTCCATCCATCTGCCTGAAAGGATCTTCTTCATCAGAGTCATGTGGAGAGTCACTACCAACGCCTTGGAGGGAAATACCAATATTGGACTCAAAACCCATACAGTGAATTGGTTAGAAAGTTTGGATGAAGCACATCCTGAACATGTATGTGTATGATTTGAATTTAATATTATATAATTCTACAGCTCAGCTAAATAAATTTCTTCTGCACAATGTTTTAAATTTTAAAAACAAAATAATTTATACAATGCTTAAAGATAGTGCTATTATACCACCAGTTAAACCATTTAATAGAAGTAAAATAAAGGGTTGTCTATAGGGAATCACAGTTAAAAAGCATCTTAATATGTTCCTGATGAAGGTAAATCCAGAAAAGCACTTTGGACGCACAAAATTTATAACATGTTGTTTTCATTTTTTTACGAACTGCAAAAAATAAGAAATTTTTTGACGAAGCATAGAGAACAGATTCAGAAATATAATATGATACGGATAAAAAAGAATTAAATACAGTGTAAAAATGAGCAACGATGTCTCCACAAAAAAAGTTATTACTGGGACACACATGTATATGAGTTGACCTAAATAAATTTCTTCATTCTGTTTAAGATTTAGAACTTACTTTTAACAGTCTAGATTTATTTTGATTAACTTAAGGTTTTCCACTAGGACAGGGCACACTCTAGGGAACACCGACATGGAGAGGAACGAGTTGAGATTGCGCCCCTGGATCCAGCTTTTATTGTAGTTAGACGAGTAGACCACAGATTTTGTCGAGAGGCTGATGGGAAGGAGTTTTAGTACACAGGGCATGATGCAGATACAGGGTTGTCATATATTGCATATGACTTTGAGAAGGGGGATGATGTCAATGACAGCAACAGCCATGTTTTCAAGAAGCCTACTATATATAGAGGAATACCAGAATGGAGATGTGTGGATTTTATTGTAGACAAACTATTTTTCAGCAAGATTAATGATTGTTTTCTTGTCTTTCAGCACTAATTCTTTTAGTTTTCTTTTAGTTTCTTAACCTATTTTTCTTCTTTTGTAGAAATTTATCCAGGGTACTAATTATCATATTGTAATGATTTATTTGTAGAATGGTTGCAGCAAATTGATTTGACCTTTATTAGGGCCCCGCCGAATGGTGGACGCCCTATAGTGATCAGTCAGTCCGTCTGTCCGTCCGTCCGTCCTTAACAAATTGTGTCTGCTCTATATCTAGAGAACTTTTATGATTTCAAAGTTTATACTTGACATGTATATTAACCAACACCAGAGGGTGTGTCATAATGTATGAACATCTCTCTAGGTCAAAGGTCAAGGTCAAAACTTTGGTTTTAGTTGACAACCTCATGTCCTATGGTAAAGATCGTGTCCGCTCTATAACTTGAGAACCATTATGATTTCAAAGTTTATACTTGATATGTGTATAAAAAACAACACCAGAGGGTGTGTCATAATTTATGTACAACTTCTTAGGTCAAAGGTCAAGGTCAAAAACTTTGGTTTCAGTTGACAACCCCATGTCCAATGATAAAGATACAAATTTTTTACCACACATTATTCACAGCGGGGCCCACAGAGATGCCTCCCATCTCAATGATATCTAGTTGAGTTTTATTTGTTTTTTTTACATGGAGCATCTCTGATGACGGTAAATCCAGAAAAACCACTTTGTCAGCAGCCAATCTCAAAAATAAAAAGTCTTTTTTTTTTCAGATTGCATGTAAACCAGATTTTATATGAATTGTAAGAAACTGCAGGTACTCTCAAGTTAATTGAACAAATACAAAATATTTAATTTGTATAATGTACATATTGTCTATTGTAGATATGGTAAATTCTGGTGAAGAAACAGCTCGGTCCTGAAAATATATACTTTAGAACATTCAATAAACTTAGTCAAATGATGAATAGTTTATGTATCATTATTATAATGAATACCAAAACAGTTCAGATAGTCACTATTGCAAATCCCAATGGATTATTAGACTTAAAGACTGCATTGATCTTGGTCTTTATATATAATAGGTTCTCGACATATCCATTTTTTATAGAAATAACAGGTTTTTCGCAAAATATTTACCAATAATGAGAATATTTTAGTGTAAATAATACATTTTCCAAGAGAAAATATCATTATAGCAATGTCTGACTAAGCAATGACTTAACTCTTAGAGTTTAAATGGATTATTTTTATTTTCTCGGTCAAAATTTGGGATTTTTCAAAATTATAGTTTTTTTTCATGCAAGTATAGGGCTAACCAAATTCCATCTAGGATAAATATCAATCAGCCAAATACAATGAAATTAGGTTCATCTGAAAGCTAAGATTGTAAGCTTTAATATAATACCAAACATGTGTAAAAATCTCCAATTTTCCGTTAAATTTTTTGCATAACTGCGCAAATATTTGAAAAAATCCGCGATTTTCAAAATTGTCAAAACATTTCTTATTTTTGACCATTTTTTAAATTTGTATTGCATTAAATTCTATTAATATATGACAAAAAGGTGCTTTTACATGTAAAGTCACAGTAACAGTCACTAACTTCTGTGAAAAATTACTGTCAAATCATGAAATTAAGTTTTTGTGTAAATTTTAGTGTCTTTTTGGCGAAAAATAGCTCAAAAATTTACGTCAAAATGCTGATTTTCTAATTCAATTTTTTTTTTTATTAGCTTAAAGAGCTTATTTTATTTGTGAAACAACTTAATACCAATACAAAACAAGTAGTAGAAAAAATTAGGGATTTTTTTCCAGCATTGTCTGACCAAAAATGTATTTTTTTCCCAAAAAAAACTACCTAAAAAAAGGGGGGCCTGCCGGCATGATTTTGAGTCGGCTAAAAAAAAATTCAGATATGTTGGCAATACAACTGTTAATATATTTCTGTTGACTGTTTAGGTCTTTACATAACTGCAAACAACCAGACCTCTGCCTGCTTTCCATTTCAAGATATCAATGTCTTAACATAGCAGTTTATTCAAAGATGCCCTTGACACATAGCAAAAAAAAACTAAGTCCAAAGTTTTTTTTTACAAAGTTTGAGATATTGTAGTTTTCTTAATATTGATGTTACTAAGGACTATAGTGGCTTAAATCAAAGCATAAAAGAGTCTTATTGCAATAATGCATATAGATTGCTTGCAGTTCCTAACCCATTTGATATATTTGGCCTGAAAAATAGCCCAAAATATGATATTTTTGCCTTCGCAAGGAAAACGGCCAAAATTTTGAAATCTAAATGGTCATAACTTTTGAACCGCTTGACCGATTCCCAAAATTTTGGCACCAATGAATTTCTTTTTTTGTGCTCTTCCATAATAATGTAATTTTATGCACTTTCTCTATACTTCATATTTTGGCTGACCTCCCTAATACTTCTGAAATTTGTTTACAATTGAATATTTTGTATAAAAGAAGGACATACTGGCACTCTAAATTGATGAGAACAAAATTTTTTAGTCATTATAATCCAATATTGCTATCATTTGTGTATTCAATCCATCCTTACATGAAAATATAACTCATTTACTATGCGGCTATGAAGATTTTCATAATAAAGTGGAAATATGGTCAGTTTTGGTTGATGCGGACAGATAATTTTGTTATATGAGTCAGTCTGATGTATGAAAACTACTGAAATTTGATTACGATTCAATATTTTGAAAAAAAGGAAGACAAACTGGCACTCTAAATTGATGCGAAGAAAATTTTTTACTCATTATGTTCCAATTTGGCTATCATTTGTGTATTCAATCCATCCTTACATGAAAATATAACTCATTTACTATGCGGCTATAAAGATTTACATAATAAAGTGCAAATATGGTCAGTTTTGGTTGATGCAGACAAATTATTTTGTTATACAAGTCAGTTTGAGGTATGAAAACTATTGAAATTTGTTTAAGATTCAATATTTTGAATAAAAGGAGGACATACTGGTACTCTAAATTGATGTGAACAAAATGTTTTCGTCATTATATTCCAATATTGCTATTATTTGTGTATTCAATTCATCTTTACATGAAAATATAACTCATTTACTATGCGGCTATAAAGATTTACATAATAAAGTGCAAATATGGTCAGTTTTGGTTGATGCGGACAAATAATTTTGTTATTCGAGCCAGTCTGATTTATGAAAACTACTGAAATTTGTTTACGATTCAATATTTTAAATAAAAAGAGGACATGCTAGCTCTCTTAATTGATGCGAACAAAAATTTTTAGTCATTATGTGCCAATATTGATTGATATCATTTGTATGATACAATCCATCCTTACATGAAAATATAACTCATTTACTATGCAGCTATAAAGATTTACATAATAAAGTGCAAATATGGTCAGTTTTGGTTGATGCGGAAAAATAATTTTGTTATTCGAGCCAGTCTGATTTATGAAAACTACTGAAATTTGTTTACGATTCAATATTTTGAATAAAAAGAGGACATACTGGCACTCTTAATTGATGCGAACAAATTTGTTTAGTCATTATGTGCCAATATTGCTATCATTTGTATTATACAATCAATCCTTACATGAAAATATAACTCATTTACCATGCGGCCATAAAGATTTACATAATATGGTGCGAATATGGTCAGTTTTGGTTGATGAGGGCATATCGTTTTGTTCTAAGAGTCAGTCTGAGGTATTAAATCTACTGAAATTTGTTTACGATTGAATATTTTGAATAAAAATAGCACGGACATGCTGGTTCCAATATTGATGTCAATTGTATTATACGGTCCATAATGACATAAAAGATAGCTGAATTACTACGCTGCTGTATAGATAACTTGACAAAGGGTAAATATGGTCAGTTTTGGTTAATGAGATCAAATAATTTTCTTTTACGAGTCATCCTGAGTCAGCCTGTCTGAGATGTGAAAACTGTTTGAATTTGGTGATGATTAAATTAATTTAATAAAAGGACATACTTGAACTATATTTTGGTGAAGAAAAAGAAATTTACTATGAATAATTTTGATTAAATTATTTTAAGAAGTGTGATAACATTATCAATTAACTGTAATCGACGTCAATATGTCAATCGAAAATGACCAGTTGGTCATTTAATTTTGATGTACCTTATCATTTGATTTTTTAGGTCAGTGTATCCAGGATACGATGACAATCTGCGTTAACGCGCGTTTACTACAAACAGTAAACGTGCGTTTACTTTTGACGAAAATAGAAGACGCGCATTTTTTCACGTTAACGCGGAAGTAAACGCGAAAGTAAACGCCCGTTTACTCTTTACAAAATTAGAAGACGGGCCGTTTTTGCGTTAACGCGGAGGTAAACGCGAAAGTAAACGCCCGTTTACTTTTTATGTCTACTGAAATTTCGGAGTTAACGCACAGTTAACGCGGCGTTAACATGAAGTGCACGCGAGTAAACTCCACGTTAACTTTTTCGGCCCGTCTACATGTAATGCTTGGTCTGCACCCAACTGTATATACCTTATTTAGTTTATTATACATATTATACATATTGCATGTTATACAGTGCCTTATTCAATTGAAAATTTCAAAAATATCTTATGAATTAAATAAGATCTTTTATAAATATATATCATTTAGTACATTATTAATTTGATATTTTTTTCACTTTAGGTTAACAGATATCTTTTTCAGTTATAAAGATATATTTCATAAACTTGATAAGATATCTTATAAATTTAATTTGATATCTTATAATCTAAGTAAGATATCTTATGTATACTTTATACAATATCTGAATATATTAAATCAGACAGATATCTTATAAACTAAATAAGATATTCTTTTCTTGTTTGAATTGTTTCACATATTTCCTGTCAGAGCCTTTTATAGCCAACTATGCCGTATGCAATTTTATAGGACCGCAAAATTTTTGATTTGGTATATTGTTATGGCGTTGTCTTCCTGTCGTCCGAAGACATTTGGTTTCCAGAAAATAACTTTTGTAAAAGTGTATGGTTTTTCTAGAAAATTCACAGATTCACAAGGTCCTATACCTGTAAAGGAATGTTTGGATTGATTTTTCGGGTTATAAACCTAAATATGAATAAAGGGGTCAAAAACCGTAATTTTCTAATACTTGTGTATAAATGGCTTAAGTTATTTTCTTGATCAATTTCAATGGGGTTTTATTTGAAGGCAGCGAAGTCATGGATTATTCTGGTTCTTGCTGAAAATGATCATGTATTAAGATTTTGGATTCTTTGGCCTAGTTTTTAAATTGGTCAAAATTGAGGTCCAAAGAGTCCAACCTTAAACTTTGTATGATTTATTAAAAAAAATATTTCAAGGGGTTCTTTGATATGCCTATTCTAATTGTGTATTTAGATTTTTAATTTTTGGTCGCATTTTCATATTAGTCCACATAAAGGTCCAAAATTCAATTTTGATTTTATTTCCACAAAATTGTATTATTCAGGTCCTATGATATGCTGAATTTAACTGTATTTAAACTTTTGAATTTTGGCCTGTTTTTTACATAAGTCTGCATTAAGGTCCAAAATAAACTTTGTTTGATTTCAACAAAAACTAAATATATGGGTTTATTTGATATATGTTGAATGATGAAATTAAAGGTCCAAAATAAACTTTGTTTGATTTCAACAAAATATAATATTAAATATATGGATTTATTTGATATGTTGAATGATGAAATTAAATCTAACCGTGTATTTAGATTTAGAATTTAGGGTCCCATTCAAATTGGTCCATATTGAATTTTTGGGGTTCTTTGATATTCTAAACCAAATCATGTATTAAGATTTTGGATATTGGACCATAATAGGTAAATGTTAAATTTAAAAAAAAAATGAGTTCTTCTGATTCAACCACATTCCTTCTGTGTCAGAAACCTATGTTGTGACTAATATTTAATCGAAATCCAAATTCAGAGCTGTATCAAGCATTAATGTTGTGACCATACTTGTCCCAACTGTTGAGGGTTCTACCTTTTTCGGTCATAACAAGCTGTGCATTCTTATTCTCATTGTCGAAGGCTGTACAGTGGCCTATAATTGTTTACTACCACTTCATTTTGACTCTAGTTGAAAGTTGCCTCATTTGCAAGGGCAGCGTTAGCTTTTCTCATCACTTGACATCTGTTTTCTGTCAACTTCTGACTTTTACAAAAAATTTCTCTGAAACTACTGGGTCAAATTTAACCAAACATGGCCACAATCGTCATAAGAATATCAATTTAAAAAAATGCCTGCCTGCACACAGTATGGCCGACATGTCAAGAAATATATATTGACCAGAATGTAAATTAATAGAAAGTAGATTCAGTTCATTATAGCCTTGATGATGACAAACTGTCAACAAATTGTTACCATAGACACAAATGGATGTGATATTATCTTGGCCAAAGTTGAGTACTAAATCAGCTGATGTCAAAACATATACTTGTTCTGTTGCTACAGAAAGTTCAATGTCATTTGTTGTAAGCAAATCTTGGAAAATGTCCCCTTCTTCTTCTGAAAGACTTCTGAAAATATGTACAATGTAGTTATAAACATAATAAATGCATGAGGGTAATTATTCATGCATGAATACATGATATTTCTGCAACTTTCAAAGTAGAATTAACCAACATAAGAAAATGTATCATTATTTCATTCAATTTTATCAGGCTAAAAAAAAGGCAGTAACAATTACTATGTTTTCATACTATTGCCATAAACACTTAACCTGCTGAGTATCAGATTCAGTACAGTGGTACAGATCGCAAGGTCTATTTCATAAACAAGTTTTTAGATATCATTTGGTAGATGTAAATCATTTTTGCTGTTTACAGTTTACACCCCTACTTGGTATTCAATGTTTCAAAGCAGGAAACATGAAAGCAGAATAAATGGAGTACGTGTCCATGGGACACAGATGATGCCCCCACTTGCAAAAGATATAATGTTATAAAGGACCATAACTCATGAACAGTAAAAGTGATGCAACCCAAATTCGAACTTGATCTGTGTTTTGTGGTAAATAAGCATTGTAAATAAGTTTCATAACATTTGGTTGAGGCAAACTAAAGTAACAGAACGGAAACTAATTTTGGGACTTACAGACTGACAAGGGTAACACTTAAGGCCCCCTCCACCACATCGGGGGCAGAAGAAAAAAGAGACGGGAGATATATGTACCGAACATTCAAAACTCATAAATCGAAGGAAAACTGACACAAGTCAAAACAAAAATCAAAAAAGGACAAAAAGACAAGCACATTAACTAAACACTTCATAGAAAACTCAAGAAAAGACAAGCACATCCACTAAACACTTCATAGAAAACTAAAGAAAAGACAAGCACATCCACTAAACACTTCGTAGAAAACTAAAGACTGATCAAAATTAACCCCACCAAAAACTGGTATAAGGTGTCAGACAGATTGGAAAAGAGATCAAATACTACAAGTCATAACCCACTAAAAACTGGTACCGTATAGCGGGTTATTTTCGCGGGTGTAAAATTTCGCGATTTGGGGGCAACAAAGTTTACGAAAAATTTTGACGGTTTTTATTTTGGTGGATTCTTAAATCCCAATTAAATATTTTGGTGGATAGTGAAATTGTTGCAGTTAAAAAGTTGTAAAACTTGAAAAACAAGTGTCTATTGTTATGATTAATTAATTATTTTTTTACAGAAATTACCTCTTATTTATTGATTAGTTTCTGATATATACCGTTAATCATTAGAATACCGCTAACTAAAATTATTATTCGTTACAAGTATTCAAACGTCTTGTAAATTTTACGATTGATTAGATTTGACCGGACCTTTGATATACTTACTAATTAGGTAACAAAATTATCATGAGTGTTTACAACTCTTATATAGTTTGACACTAATTAATGTGGGGTAATTACCTGATAAGAGTACCTTACACTCTTATTCTAATTGACACTTATTAATAAGGGTATACACACCTGACAGTCATTTTATAAAATACATTTATGTACAATGCCCTTTAGCATTTATCTTGTTAAAACTAATATATACCGTTATTGACCTGCCAACGGAAAAATAGATCGTATACAAAATCCTTTAACCATGTTAACTTCGAAACTACCAAACGTATGCATAAATTTTCGCGGAATTTATTTTCGCGATTTTCGTTTATCCGCCAAAATAAGCGAAAATGAACACCCCGCGAAAATAACCCACTATATGGTATAAGGTGTCAGACAGATTGGAAAAGAGATCAAATACTACAAGTCATAACCCACTAAAAACTGGTATAAGGTGTCAGACAGATTGGAAAAGGGATCAAATACTACAATTCATATCCCACTAAAAACTGGTATAAGGTGTCAGACAGATTGGAAAAGAGATCAAATACTACAAGTCATACCCCACTAAAAACTGGTATAAGGTGTCAGACAGATTGGAAAAGAGATCAAATACTACATGTCATACCCCACTAAAAACTGGTATAAGGTGTCAGACAGATTGGAAAAGAGATCAAATACTACAAGTCATACCCCACTAAAAACTGGTATAAGACGTCAGACAGATCGGAAAAGAGATCAAATACTACAAGTCATACCCCACTAAAAACTGGTATAAGGTGTCAGACAGATTGGAAAAGAGATCAAATACTACATGTCATCACTACCAAGCTACTGACTTAATCATTGTTAATATGAAGACATTCCTCTATCTTGTAATACTAGAGAAATAAGTGACAGAAAATTTTAAGTTCATTCAACATATTGAAAAAATTAAAAGTATTTGTGAACAGGAAGTACATTTTGGTGTCTGACGTATCTGAAAGTTGCACATATTTAAACTCATCACTATCAAGCTGCTGATAAAAAGATAAATTCTGTTCAGTAGATCCTGAGAATAGTATGATTGAATAGACAGATGGACAAGTTGCATGTAATATACACTCCTAAAAAGGGGGTATGATAAGTCATCATTAAAAAGTAATTACTCCTGAAACTAAGGAAACATCTGATAATCTTGATAGAAAGAGAAAGTAAGTACAATAATGTACAAACAAAAATTGATGTAGATTTTAACATTTTGACTCTGTCAGATTTTCTCCATTTATATGATTTACAAATATTTAACAATTCTGTGCCATTATACCCTTCAGATCTTTCAACTCAAGTTTGTTAAAAATTCATCAACTGGTTTCAGAGGAGTAGTTTGTTACCCTTTTTCTTGATATAAAAGACTCAGCTATGCTAATAGAAGCTTACTGCAGCTTCTATTGGCAGCGGTCACAAACAAACTTATTCAAGTCTTAAAATTCACAGGAAGTTTTTTTTAGTCTGTTTGAATGAAAGAACCTTAGTGAGCGCGCTCACATACCCCACGTCCCCACATTGTCATTGGAGAAATAAAATAAGTGTAAGAAAAAAAAAAGGAAAAAAAATTCAATCATAATTTCCTGTCAATATGCACATCTACGTAGTATGTCCTTATTATCTGAAAAGGTTTCATGAAATTCTGTTGTGTGGTTTGAGGAGTTGCGAAGACAAACTGTTGCAGTAGTACATTAAAGTAAATAAGTTCAAAGGGGCGTAACTCCTAGAAAAAGAATTGAATTGTAATTTCCTGTCGATATGCACAACTACATAGTATGTCCTTATTATCTAAAAAGGTTTCGTGAAATTCTGTTGTGTGGTTTGAGAGGAGTTGCGATGACAAAAGGTTGCAGTAGTATATTGGGCAAATAAGTTCAAAGGGGCATAACTCCTGGGAAAAAAAATTGAATCGTAATTTCCTGTCGATATGCACATCTACGTAGTATCTCCTTATTATCTGAAAAGGTTTCATGAAATTCAGTTGTGTGGTTTCAGAGGATTTGCGATGACAAACTGTTGCAGTAGAGTATTGGGCAAATAAGTTCAAAGGGGCGTAACTCCTGGAAAAAAAATTAATCGTAATTTCCTGTCGATATGCACAATTACATAGTATGTCCTTATTATCTAAAAAGGTTTCGTGAAATTCTGTTGTGTGGTTTGAGAGAAGTTGCGATGACAAGAAACAGGACTGACGGACAGACAGACGGACAGACGGACGGACGGACTGACGGGTCAAAAACATTATACCCTCCGCAACTCGTTGCGTGGGGTATAATTAAAGGTTTCATAAATTCTGAAGTATTTTATTAATTTTATACAATTAATGATCCATATTTTTACTGTGTATGTTATGTACTAACAAGAATGTGTCCATAGTACATGGATGCACCACTCGCACTATCATTTTCTATGTTCAGTGGACCGTGAAATTGGGGTCAAAACTCTAATTTGGCATTAAAATTAGAAAGATCATATCATAGGGAACATGTGTACTAAGTTTAAGTTGATTGACTAAAAACTTTAACCTGAAGCGGGACGGACGAATGGATGGACAAACGAATGGACAAACGGACAGGCGAACAGATGATTGGACGTACAGACCAAAAAACATAATGCCCCTAGGTGGGGCATAAAAAAAACCCCAAAAAACCCAGGTTTAATCCACCATTTTCTACAAAAGGAAATGCCTGTACCAAATCAGGAATAAGACAGTTGTTTTCCATTCATTTGATGTGTTTGAGCTTTTGAATGTAAGTAAAAACCACCATGACCATCATGATCATACAATGTAGCTAATAAATAAACTTGAAAACACAGAATGTCTAATTTCACCAAAAATGACAAAGTTCCACAACATGTAATTTTTAAAAATTTTAAGAAAATAGAAATCCTGACTTCAATCGCACCGTTACATGCTTTAGTATATATATATGCTAACACCCTACATAATATAAAAGTTCTAGCTTGAAAACCCTATATGAGATAGCTGGACAAACCATGCATTCTGTATGCCAAATATTACTAAACAAGAAGGTGCCCATAGTACACGTATGACCCACTTGCACTATCATTTTCTATGTTCAGTGGACCGTAAAATTGGGAATAGAACTCTCATTTGGCATTAAAGTTAGAAAGATCCTAACATAAGGAACATGTGTACTAAGTTTCAAGTTGTTCTGACTTCAACTTCACCAAAAACTACCTTGACCAAAAACTTTAACCTGAAGCGGACAGACGAACGGACGGATGAAAGGACTCACAGACCAGAAAACATAATGCCACTCTACTATCGTAGGTAGGGCATAAAAATGATTAATTTCAACAACTTATCATTTTGGAAAATCTTAACAATCAAAATCCTAAAATATGCACACCTTTAGTATATCATGTATATGTACTATCGTCCTACATGATATACAAGTTCTAGCTTGAGAACTGTTGATGGAGCTACATGTAGCTGGACATGTATATGTACTATCGTCCTACATGATATACAAGTTCTAGCTTGAGAACTGTTGATGAAGTTAGCTGGACATGTATATGTACTATCGTCCTACATGATATACAAGTTCTAGCTTGAGAACTGTTGATGGAGTTACATGTAGCCAGACATGTATATGTACTATCGTCCTACATCATATACAAGTTCTAGCTTGAGAACTGTTGATGGAGTTACATGTAGCTGAACATGTATATGTACTATCGTCCTACATGATATACAAGTTCTAGCTTGAGAACTTTTGATGGAGTTAGCTGGACATGTATATGTTCTATCGTCCTACATGATATACAAGTTCTAGCTTGAGAACTGTTGATGGAGTTACATGTAGGCAGACATGTATATGTACTATCGTCCTACATCATATACAAGTTCTAGCTTGAGAACTGTTGATGGAGTTACATGTAGCTGGACATGTATATGTACTATTGTCCTACATGATATACAAGTTCTAGCTTGAGAACTGTTGATGGAGTTACATGTAGCTAGACATGTATATGTACTATCGTCCTACATGATATACAAGTTCTAGCTTGAGAACTGTTGATGGAGTTACATGTAGCTAGACATGTATATATACTATCGTCCTACATGATATACAAGTTCTAGCTTGAGAACTGTTGATAGAGTTACATGTAGCTAGACATGTATATGTACTATCGTCTTATATGATATACAAGTTCTAGCTTGTTGATGGAGTTACATGTAGCTGGACAAACCATGTACACTGCATCACTTATATTACAATAAATTATGATAAAGTTCAACAACCCGACATTTGTTGAAAATTTAAAAAAAATAAAAATCATGACAATTTGCACACCTTTAGTATGTTTAGTATGTAGTACATAGTGTAAAAGTGTTTTCTGGAAAACTGGAGTTAGCCGGACCCTATGTTGGACAGATGGACATATAGGGGTAAAATAATATGCTCCCATAAATTTTGTAGCTGAGTGATTTGTCACCATGCAAACTGTTGTTGTCACTGGCATAATTTATATTCATTTACCTGTTTTCCTAGAGAACATTCTCAACAATACAGTAATACCTGTACAATTTTATTTAACAAGCCATTCAGAATCATTGAGAAAACTATAAGAGAAAAAGGCAAATCAAGATCATTTAGGAATAAGGAATGTGTAGGGGTTGTAGTGTAAGGGTTGTAATAATAAAATAGTTACCACAGCAACTAAATAGAAAAAAAGGCATTGCTATTCTTTCTTTGTGAGTATTTCACCAAATTAAAACAAAGCAAACAAATAGAATGAAATTTTACAACTATCAATGTATCATCATTCAATTTTCTATTAAAACCTCAGCATAGATACAGATACAGATAATCTTATTTACCAATCAAGGTGCCCTCTGAAGGGCAGATTTATAACATAATAAACAGATAATCTTATTTACCAATCAAGGTGCCCTCTGAAGGGCAGATTTATAACATAATAAACAAACTAAACAATAAAATAATATGACAATAATACTTCATTATAGTAATAATTATGTTGATTGTATAAACTAGAGGCTCTAAAAAGCATGTGTCGCTCACATTGGTCAAGTGCATATTCAACAAAGGACACTCTCCAACACTGTTGATGAGAATAGAATTCATGACAAAAATACCTGTTTTGTTGATCTTGTATTGCTAATCATTTATTCTGTTTAATCTCTCTATCTTCTTTAGTTTTTGCTCAAAACACAAAAGAGGGTAAAACAAATCATTTAAGGCCAATCACTCCTATAAAGAGTGACAGTCTACTTAATACTATATCAGCAAATTTTGACTTGTTAATCGATCTTGACATGCTGATCATTTTTGTGATTTAAAGTGTCGATTTATCTAATTATAATTTTCAAGATAGTATGCAAAAATGAAAAAAAATGGTAAAATTTGTCAATTAAGGGCAATAACTCCTAGAAGAAGTCGTCCAACAGTTTTAACATATATAGACAATTGGTAGAGCTCAACATTCTGAACATTTTTGCACTTTTCAGGATTTCTCTATTTATTATGGTTTTAAAAATTATAGACAAAACTTGCATTTCTATTTATAGCTATGTCGGCCATCTTGGTTGGCAGGCAGGGTCATCGAACACATTTTTTAAACTGGATACCCCAGTGATGATTGTTGCCAAGTTTGGTTAAATTTGGCCCAGAAGTTTCAGAGAAGAAGATTTTTGTAAAAGTAAACAGACGACGACGGATGCCAAGTGATGAGATAAACTCACTTGGCCCTGTGGGCTATGTGAGCGAAAAATAAACTTATCTTAAACTTAAAATAGAAAGGTCAACATTAATGTATTTTTTTTATATTGAGGATATCCAGCTAGATTTGGATAAATAGAGACAACTCCATCATTCTCATACAGAATGTATTTCAGATGCATGTGGGTTTGATTTAGTACTGAATCCTGATTTTCTATTAGTTCAATTATCACATTTAATATAAGTTTTTAACATATTTATCCTCATTAGTCATTAATCATACAAATTTAATCTCTGAAGTAAGCTTGACAATTTTTTTATATAATTCAGATAAAAAAAGAATCATGCAATGTTGGTTTTATTGCAAACCTACACCAAACAAATTTCTTGTGGGTATATATCACCCTGTTTTCAGAGTTAAAAATCTGACATCTAAATGGATTCATTGATGTGAAATGACTTACATTTGCTGCTGACTACAAATTTGTTGTCTGTTGACCCTGAACAGTTGACCGTCTGCGGTCAAACAATACAATATCCAGTCAGCTAATGTATCATTTGTTACACTGTAATCTTTAATATAACCACAAGCCCTTATGATGGCCTGAAAGTAAAAAAACAGTTCATTAGGTTTAAATCATTTACCGCCTTCAGTAAAATACATGTATGTCCAGTTAAAACATCCAGTCAGTATGGGGACATTAAACATGATGCCTTGTGCAGGGACAAAGCCATGTGACGTTCTCTATAAATTAAAGAACTCTTGCAACAAATATCCTAGTGATCCATAGGTGGCCTGTTGTCAGGCAAAATTTCTCACCCTTCATCCTAGTAGGCATAACTTGCCAAGCCTATCTATTGTATCAATTGTAAATTTGTTATCGTCCTGAATATGCATGAAATATTTTCCACTGAACATTAATAAGCAACCATCAATCAATCAATCTAATTGAAGAATATAAAAGATAAATCTTACCACTGACAGCTACTTTGGGACTAGCAGGACATTGAAAATTGGAATATGTTGTCATATTTATCTTTATTAATATAAATTTATATATTTTGAGCTGGACCTTAATCATATACAGTACCTCAGCCTTTAAAAAAATAATATGAACTGACCCTATATTTCCTTTTAATTTGAAATTAATGAATGAAACAATAATCAGAAATAAGCCTTGTAGGTTCATGAAATGTCCTATCTATTACTAAGATCCTCGTTGTAAACTCGGTTGTTTCCCTTTACAGTCATTTATAAGCAACGAAAACTTAAGTCACGAAGGTTTCTTTTTAAATAATGAAAAAAACATTTCGTTTTATTTTTATAACACCTGGGACTATTGATGACTTGACTATCATGACTTTTGGTCCCAGAAAAAAGATAGGCGAAAGCAATTAGTTGTATATATAATCATGATAATTACAAATCATCCCGGTAAGTCAGCAGAGTACATGCTTATTGGTTAAAACTTAACATACATTGTACCACTGTTGTGTATTGCTGAATCTTAGTATATACATCTGATTTTAAGACCACCTACTGTCAATCAGAGTGTAACTTATTGACCAAAGCATGTGGAGTTTCAGTTATAATGTTTGACAAACTGCAATAGTTTCAAACATTTCAGGGCTGCCAAGTATCACGCATTTAGCGTTTAGCGTGAGACTCACACATTTTCATGCTTATTTGGCGATATTTTCCTTTGATCTATTGTTTTTTTTCTTTGATCTTTATGATTTTGGCCAAATCTAACGCATTTGCATTATTAAAAGTTGGCAGAACTGACATTTGTGTCAAAACACCAAAGATAATGAATAATAGAGATGGCCCATTTTGTACAATATCCCAAAGGGAAACTCCATGCAAAGCAGTATTATTTATTGTTTTATTGCATTTGATAAAAAATGGGGATTTTGTGGCAAATAAAACCAAGATTTTTGTAGAAAAACCACAGACTTTAATAAAGAGATTTTCGTTATAAAATTTTAAACATAGATGACTCACTTGTTTGTCCATGATGTGCTAGCGTTCATTGTTTACAAAAAGTCCTAAACAACCTTTACATTCAAAAAAACCTACTGCTGAGTCACCAAAGTCAAGTGCACCCGGGAAGGTGTACTTGAATTGGTCCATATTCATATTTGTTTTAACCTATATCTTAATTTATAAACTTGTTTTAAGGAAATCATTGCTAGCACTGCATGCAATAATCCTCTATCTATCAACATGATCAAGCACTGAATTGTCAAATATATGAGTACAAGGGAAAAGGCTGTGGATTTTCTATAAAATTTCCATATGTTTAACATTGAATCAACACAAGGGTATTTATGTAAAGCAAAATATTGTCCTCATCTATGAAAAAATGTCCAGAGAAGGACAAATTTACATTGTGAAATTTTGTCTGTATATGGACAATATTTCACGGATGAATACTATGAAATTTTGTCCTGGTCAAGGGGAGGTTATATTTGTGTGTATTGAATCAATATTTCATAGGCATATTGTCATGAAATTTTGTCTCATGAAGGGAAGGTACTATTTCATTATGAAATAGTGTCCGCGGACACTATCTTATATGAAATTTTGTCAGACGGATAATATTTCATGGGGACAATATTTTATGTTACATATAATCCTTAAACCCTCAAGTTGTGAAAGTCAATTTGAATGAATTATGAGATGCGGACAAGTTGAATACCTGTACATAAAGATTTAAAACAATATATTTCAATTTTGTTATTTTATACATCATTATAACACACATGACATTGATTGCCGTGGAATTATCTGTAATGCTTTTACATGTTTTAAGAGTCATCTTATAAAACATTCAAAATAACTTCCACAACTGAAAAGTATAGTTTCTGAGCCCAAAACGCATAAAAATATGAATTGTAAGCTGTAATGAATGCTGTTAACACGACATAATAGTTTTGATGTTGCCAAAAATTATAGTAGTCAGAGTAAACTTCAGTGGTGAAACATCTACATCTACATAATACTTCTTAACTTCAATATGTTGACGATTACAAGAAGGCACATAGGGGAAAAAAATAAAATCTAATATATTTACAATAATTTCCAAAAACTTTTTTCTAATTGATTTTTTTTTGTACATGTATATAGATAAAAACATGATTTTGATCTAGCAATATATATGTGATTTTGCACCAGACATAAATGCTTCTAAGTCTGGGCTACAGGCTACTTGGTATTGTAGGGAATTCCACAACCTTATTGTTCTGGGAAAAAATGAATATAAATGGTAATTTGTGGGAAAGAATGGCTGTATAAATTTATGTTCTTTTGATGGTATTAAGTATTGATTATCATGTTTATTTGAGATGGATACTAATGTGTTGAATTTTGTATAGCATGGTGACTGATGCGAGATTTCTTCTTTTTTGTAGTGTCGGCCAGCATAGATGTTCAAGCAGGGCTATAACACTGCTTTGGTAGCTGTATTGATTAAGTGTATACCTGGCAGCTCTTCTCTAGATCATTTCAATTTTATGTATTTGTTATTTCTGCCAGGGGTCCCAGACAACACTACAATATTCTATTTTTGGTCTGACATATGTTTTGTAAGCAAGTTCTTTTGTTTTTATGCTGTTGGTTTTTACATTTCTTTTAATAAATCTCAGTGATGCATTTGCCTTATTTGTGATGTTATTTATATGTGAATTCCATGTCGTTAGTGATGGTAAAATATGATCATGTAGTGTGTATTTAAAGATGATCATGATGATTGGTTTATGCTTTCTTGTTACACGTATGTGGATGATTTCACATTTGTCTGGGTTAAATGACATTAGCCATTATTGCTCCCATTGTTCCAATTTATGTAAGTCTGATTGAAGGGTGTGGCAGTCAGTAAGTGATGGTATTGTTATTAAAATACACAATGATGTCATCTGCAAAGAGGCAAACATTACTTTTGAGGTTGCCTGGCATGTCATTTATGTTAATTAAGAAAAGTCACGGACCGAGAACAGAGCCTTGAGGAACGCCTGACAGTACAGCTATTTAATGTGTGACTGTCAACTACCACTTTTTGAGATCTGTGAGATAACCATGCCTCTATCCAGTCTGATGTTTTATTGTTTATTCCGATGTGTTTTAGTTTTAAAATAAGTCTTTGGTGGTCCACTTTATCGAACACTTTTGAGAAGTCCATAACAACTACGTCAGTTTGTTTACCATTTGCCATATAATCAAGTATTTGTTGTATGAATGTTAGTTGTGTTTCACAGCTAACTTTTGATCTGAACCCATGCTGCAGTGGGTATAGTAAATCATAATTATCTAGATGTTTCATTATAGATGATACAATTATGTGTTCTAATGATTTACTAAGAATACAGGTTAGGGAGATGGGCCAATAATTTTCAGGTTTACATTTTGCTCCTTTTTTGAATACTGGTGTAACCATGTCCTCTCTCCAGTTGTTTGGTACTGTGCCTGTATTTACTGATGAATTAAACAAGTCAGATATTGTAGGTGAGATTTCATGAAGTGCTTATTTTAGAAAATGAGGTGATATTTTGTCTGGACCAATTGCTTTTGATGGGTTTAAGTTTTTTTTAGTAATTTAGATGTTCCTTCTGGGGTGATATTCATTTGCTTCATTTCAAATTTGTGTGTTGTTGATTTTTTATGATTTTAGGCCTTTTATTTTTTATAAGTTGGTTTACGGATCCGCCTACACTACTGGAACAATGCCCCGTAGATTGGCCGTGAAAATATCCGTAAAAATGCTGGTGATTTTTACAGTGTTTGTCACGGTTAATTAACTGTGGGCCGTGAAACTTATCCGTGACAATACCGTGGAATGACTGTCGTGAAAAGTTTGTGAAAAGGCCGTGAAGAGGTGCCACCTGAAAACTTGGGTGAAAAGACCGTAGAAACCCTGTGAAAAAAAAATATACACCGTGAAAATGTCGTGACAATGCATTATGTGCCCATTGTAAAAAGACCGTGAAATGTAGATATAGTACAGTATATGCCTTTTTTTTGTCGTGAAAAGGCTGTGAAAACTTGGGTAAAGAGACCGTAGAAACCCTGTGAAAAACAAAAATGTACACCGTGAAAAAGTCGTGATAAATTATGTGCCCATTGTGAAAAGACCATGAAATGTACATGTACTACTGTGATAAACAGCCATTCACTGATTGTGAAAACTCCTGTAAATGGTTAAATGTATTTTTCAGGCCATAATTTAACAAAAAAATTAAATGCCGTTTCAATCAAGTGCAGTGAAATGCCTGAAAACCTAGTGTAAACATCTACAGACAACTTATTTAAGTACAATGCAAGTGAGACTATGAAAAACCATATTAAACTGCTGTATTTTTTTTAGTAATAATTGTGACAAAGAATAAAAATATTAATTTTAATAGAACTGTAGTAATTACATGTATGTAAAGAAAACAAAAAAGCACACAAATGTCAATGTGATTAAGTAGCTAAAGTCAGCTGTAACATGTATTGTAGAAATTTTGTACATCTCTTGGGTCTTATTTTACCACTTCAGCAATATTTGTCTAATGTAATCCTTCGCTTCACTGCCCTTTTGAATAACTATTCCAGAAAAAAACATTTATAGAAGTTCCTGTTAATTTCCAGGAAATACTTTTAACTGAAAAACTCTTCTTTCCAACTGGATTCCTGAACTATTTTATATAAAGACTGCTATATCCTTTTGCTCTTCATTCCTAGAATAAATAAAGAAACATTACATATATTATACATGTACATTATGTATATAAAAAAACTATTTATATATTCAAATTAATTTTTGGCATTAATGTACATACATGTACTTAAAACAGCTACAATACTCCATGCAATACACGACTTCACGGTTAATGACCCCATATTGAATAGGGGGCAGATTTTCATACTGGAGGTGAAAATGGTATGAAAAATACTAAAAAACATCACTGAAACAGAACAGCCACTTGGAAACATGCATAGGTTTTCCCATATTTTCATACCATTTTCCAGAAAATCTGCCCCTATCCAATATATATGGCATCATTAGTTAACGAAGTTCTGTATTGTCAACTTATATTATTTTTTTTAGATTTTTTTAAAGACTAAAGACACTTTTAAGACAGACTATTAAATTTAAATGTTTCTTTGAAGTAATAATATGTATGGCTAAAGTCAAACTTGTCTAGACTAAGTGGCCGTAATGAGTCACAGCTATTTATTTTACAGGGGGCCAGGGGCGTAGCAACTTTTACTGCAGGCACATTCGCCATACCAATTATTTTTTAAACACCTCATTGCCATACCAATTATTCTTATGATATGGCACAAACCCTTCTAGAAAGGACATTTTGCCGTACAAATATTAAATACTTTCCCTGCTACGCCTCTGATTAATCCCTTTTGAACTCTGTGTCCCGACGGCCAAGTCAGAAAACACTTAAATAGATCCCGACACAATCAAAGGGGGTTACGCCTCTGATTATCAGAGTGAACTCCATTTCAGAGATACTTATTGCTATTATAATCATTTCCAATTATCATATCTATGTCTACGTAGTGTACTGTACATAAATGTCATTTTTTTTATGTGGCCAGTGGCAGTGTGGGGAAAAAGGACCCCCCCCCCCCCCCCCCCCCCCACCTTTTTTCCCCAAATACATAAACAAAACAAAACCGTAATCGTATTTAAAGGATCCGGTAAGTCTTAGAAAACATTAACCAAAATGATTAAAGGAATCATGTGCAACAGACTCAAATATAAGTGAATATATCACATGCATGTTTGCGCGGTTTCTGCAAATTCAGTGAAAATCAGTTCAATGGAAATGCTCACAAACGTCATCAACATTTTGGTGATATGATGCATAAAAGAATAAAATATTAATAACTTAACTTACCTCAAACTTGCTGTCACTCGTCTTGCATCTATAAAGTAAATATTACTCGACCTTCGGCGTCTTTCAAATTTCCTACCTAGGCCAAGATTGCGGAAATGTTACAATTACTCTAAAAGAAACACGAATCCGGATACGGTCTGATATTCCGGGAAGTTCTCGTTTTTCCATGTTTCGGTTCCAATTAAAATTAATGTTTACATTGTTTATAATAATGTACAGATGAGAAGAAAAATACTTTTCTTTAAATACAAAATATTTATTGGCACAAAGTCATTAATTATAACAATGAATGGTTCCATTGAAAAGTCAGTCCTGTACAGTGATCTACAGTAGTATTGCATATAATAATATTTAAACAGACATATATTTATAATGAAAAGTTTATAGGATATTTAGAAAAATGTGAGTGGAAATAATTAGACCATATTACAATAATCACATGGGATGTTTTAAATCTGAATTAGGATAGGAATTGAAAAAATTGACATGAAAAAATATCACGGCCTTTTCACTGGTTTCAACAACCAGTGAAAAGACCGTGATATTTTTTATTAAGCATGAAAGGACAAATTATCACGGCCTTTTCACGGGATATTGAAATTTCACGGTCTTTTTCTAACATCAAATATTTTTCACGGCCTTTAGAAATATTTTTTTTTACAAAAGTCACGGGGTATTTTCACGGGGTTTTCACGGCCCTGTGATATTTCACAGACATTTCACGGCCTTTTCATGGGCTGTTGTTACAGTAGTGCTACCCGATTTTGTCTAAAAGTGAAATAAAATTAAAATTTTGATTTCGTTTTGTTTTTATTTCGCCGACCTTATTTTTCGAGAGCTGTAAATAAAAAGGTCTGAGGAGTTCCAAAAATATTTGTTTATTTGTTGTGTGTCAAAAAAGCGTTTGTCGTGAACGACGCATTTCAAAAAGCTTCGAAATGACGCAAATGAATTACATAAACGTGTGTTTCACTCCCCTACACTGTATATCCCCATTAGACACACGAGAACCATAGTGTCTGACGGCTTCAATTACTTTCAGCTAAACATAAACTATGATGGCAAACGTAATGAAAAGAATTTCATTAAATGCAAACCAACGCAAACAAATGGCGATGCCACTTTGGATAATATGGCTGCTGAAAATGTCTCAATTTCGGTTTAATTAGGGACTTTCCGTTTTGAATTTACCTCAGATTTCGGTATTTTTGTTATTTTACTTTTTGCCAAGAATAAAACATTGTTCTCAACCTTTGATTTTCCCTCTTCATGCCCTTACATCCTTATGGACACTCTCAGATTTATATTGTATGATTGTTTTTACGAAAATGAATATAAATAAGAAGACATTTTCCCCCAACAAATTATAAACGATTGGAACAGTTTACCTGAAAATGTTGTGTCTGTAAAGACAGTTAATAACTTTAAAATACAACTTGATCATCATTGGGCAGATGTTATGTACCAGTTCTAGTGATAAATTGAATAATTATTTTTATTACAAATTTTTATTGTTTCTTAATATGAGTGGATTGGCATTACGGGAGGAAATTTGATACCTGTTCTAATGATAAATTTTGACTTCTTCAAGTATTAACTATTTAAAATTTGAATTATTCGTCAACCAATAGTGACCCATAAAATGCAGGATTGTTATGAGTTTGGTTCTAAGAACAAGTACGAATTTGGATGGGCTTAAAAAAGATTAAATTTCCTTACACATGAGTCCTTAAAAGATTCTACATGTATTCTACGAATAGATGTGGTATGAGTGCTAAATTATGAGACAACTCTCCTTCCAAGTCCCAATGTATTTCAAGTTAACAATGAAAGGTCAAAGTATGGCTTTCTTTGCTTTTAAAATTGTAGTTAAACCACTATTTATTTTCTAGTTCACAGTGGGACCAACAAATTTCCTGTCTTCAAAATATATGTTTCGCCAAACTTTGGTATATTGCAATTTCCTCATCAGCATGATAGGATCATGAACACTTGATTTTCAAGGTCGGAAATCAAAGAAAGTGTTGGTCAAGTATATTGTCCTCAAATAAGCTTCTGGGTCAAACGTGCATATTCAAATGCAAAGGATATCAAGATAAGAGCTACATTAAAACTATTTCTTCTGATCAAATTTCCCTTAGTAATGTACACCATTTTTTTTTTTAAATATCCTCCGACTCTAATTTTTCTGGACAGTTACAAATGTATGTGTAAACAAAAAAAATCTAAAAAGACTGCTATTTTATTTTTCATTTTTTTTACCTCCTCCGACCCTAACTTTTCATAGCAGTTGTCTGTAAACCAACTAATTTGTTCACAAATTTGTGATAATTTTAAAGGTTAGGTGTGGTAAATGCTGAGTTTAACTGATTGTTTAGTGCTTCAGCCTGATCTTGAGGGTTTGTTTTTGTTATACCATTTACCTTACACTGATCGTAGTTGTTTTCAAGTTATTAGTGTGTATTTCTAATCTATTCTACCTTTTTAGTTTCATTTTCATAAACATGGATTGCTATTTGATTAGAACTGAATAAGAAGGAACACTTTGTTTTATCCAAATCCAATGTTTTCATTTCACTAATATTGAAATTCCCGGGGATTATCTCCCTTCTATCCGAAATTGAAAAAAAATAACGGCCAGACACTGCAATATTTCCGCAAATAGATTATACTTTTTTTTTTATTAAAACATCATCTGGTTGATGATTACTTTCTGTTCCATGCCTTGTTTAACAGTATTGTTAATAATTACAAATTTATTTTTCTAATTTCATAATAATTTTTCAATTTTTATATGTGTAAGCAATATTTTTTCAATTTTGATTTCATAATTTTTTGTATATTAAGATAGATTATGCATGTAGGTATTTGTAAGTGTCAAGGAGAATTTGTCTGGTGAGTTTCTCCTTGAAGCACTCAGTAGTGGTGCTGCAGGCTATAGTTTCATGTAATTTATTGCAGTCTTGTAGGGGCGGATCCAGCCATTTTTAAAAGATGGTGTGGGGGGGGGGTCTCAACCCAGGATAAAGGGGCGGTTCCAACTATATGTCCCCATTCAAATGCATTGATCGTCCGGAAAATAGGGGGGGAGTCCAACCCCCGGAACCCCCCCAGGATCCGCCACTGGTCTTGTATAGATTGACAGAAAAAAGAAAATTTGTAACTGTCTTTGCTGCATCGAATTTGTCGATATGTTTGTTCGTGGTTAGACGCGGTGTTTGCTTTGCTTTTAATTAGAATGTCAGTATATGGTATGGTAATTTTGTTGTTGGTGATACTGTTTGTCGGTATGTTTGTTCGTGGTTAGACGCGGTGTTTGCTTTGCTTTTAATTAGTATGTCAGTATATGGTATGGTAATTTTTTTGTTGGAGTTACTGTTTGTCGGTATGTTTGTTCGTGGTTAGACGCGGTGTTTGCTTTGCTTTTAATTAGTATGTCAGTATATGGTATGGTAATTTTGTTGTTGGTGATACTGTCTGTCGGTATGTTTGTTCGTGGTTAGACGCGGTGTTTGCTTTGCTTTTAATTAGTATGTCAGTATATGGTATGGTAATTTTGTTGTTGGTGATACTGTTTGTCGGTATGTTTGTTCGTGGTAAGTCGCGGTGTTTGCTTTGCTTTTAATTAGTATGTCAGTATATGGTATGGTAATTTTGTTGTTGGTGATACTGTTTAATCAGCTTTTAAGTTTTCTTTCTTGTAATGATGACCAGTGAAACGTGTTCAGCATGTTTGTAACAATAGTTTTCAGTATATTTTTACTGTGTTTAGAACATACGTATCTTGCTGCACGTCTTCGGACTTTTTCCATGGAGTTAATGTTCTCTGTTGTGTAAGGATCCAAGACAGTGCAGCACTATTCTAGTTTTGGCCTTGAAAACAGGTGCTACGTTTGAGTGCTTCCAATCACGAGGTTCTTTTCCTGTTTGTATTGATTTTGTAAAAATTAGAGTAAGTATATCTGTGCATGTGTAAATGTTTTCTTTTAGCACTATTCCAGTTATGTTATCTGGTCCTGTTGCTTTTTTAGGATTTATATTTTGAATTAATTTGTAGATGCCTTCTCTGTTGTTGTCTATGTTGCCCACTATTGGATGTATTGATGGACCCTTTTCAGGGATTTCTGCATGTACATGTATTAGTCTCAGATGTAAATGCTGATTTAAATTGTTCGTTTAAGTATTTGCTTTTTGTTTAGGGATCTGTATAGAGTAAACCTTCACTCCTAAGAGGTGCAATACCAGTGTTTTCATTGTTTTGGCCTTTTATGTATGAAAAGAGGTTTTTAGGTTGTTTGTCGAATCTCTGATTTTCAGGTTCTTGTATTCCAATGTCGAATATCATGTTTTCAATATATTTCCAGTAGGCATTTCTCATTTCTTTCTGTAATAATTATTTAATTTGTTTGAATTTTTTAATGTGTTTACCATCATCTTTGTTCTTTTTGTATAATTTATTTTTTCTTATTTATTAAAATTTTCAAGTTTGAATCTATCCATGGCAGGTTAGTTGTGTTACCTATCAGCTTAGTTCAACTTGGTATATGCATTTTGGATACTTTCTGTTTTTGTTTTGAAATAGTACCACATATTGTGTATTTCTAGTTCTAACTGGTGTTCTTCAATATGTGTGTATGTTTCAAATTTTTACTATTTTTCCCAGTCTGCATTCTTGTGTGTGGTGACTGTTTGGCTTTCGAAAGAGAAAGGTTAATTTCACTGAAAATTATAGTATTGTCTCCTAGTGGTGGTAATGTTTCGACTCTGTTTACTAGGGATGGGTTTGACATGCACAGTAGATCGAGTGTGTGGTCATTTCTTGTTCTACTACCTGTGTGAGATTGTGATCTTGTAGTATGTCTAATAGGTGTTGATGAAGAAAAGGATCTGGTTTGATAGGTATTACCGATGAATTTGACCAGTCACTATTGTCTAAATTGAAATCACCACTGAGCATGATATTTGCGCTGGATGAATTGCATATCCTATTTAGTGAGGTACTAAGATGTTCAAATGATTCCCCTTTGTCTGATGTGGCCTATACTAAACTCCAAGATAAGTGGTTTTATTTCCTGTTGGAGTTGATTTTGCCCTGATTAATTTGCAATCTGTGTCTAGTTCAGGCACCTGTAATGTAGTGAGTGTGTTAGTGATTTCGAGTAACACACCTCCATAGCCATATTTCCTGACAATAATGTGTTTAGCGTAGATGGTGTATTTGGATGGTGAAATGAGCCAGGTCTCAGAACCAATGATCACATTAGGTTTCCATGAGTCTATTATCAAGTTTTTACTTTATGTTTTTATTGATTGAAAATTGATATTGAGTACTCGAAGTGGTGGAACTGTACTCTGTTTCTTTTTCTGCTTTAATGGTTTCAATTTTTGTTTGTGTATTGGTGATGATGTATGAGTGGGTGTTCCAATGTGTTCTAAGTCATTTTCATTCGTGCTCTGGTCTGCGAAGCTAATAGATGTTTCAAAGGTGCTGTTAGAAAATGTGGTAGAAAAGTTTGCCATGCCACATTTTAGGCATTCCCAAGGGATGTTGCTATTACTTAGGATTTCATACATGTGCTGTTCAATACCCTCACATTTAATGTGATACCACTCATCGCATGTGTCACAGCAGACTGCTTTTTGTCGCTATGTGACTTCTTTGGCACAAGAACCGCATGGGTACTTTGTAGGAAATGGGTTTGGCTCAGGAACATATGAGTTGACTCGGAGAAGGCTACATAGGTAAGTCAGTACTAATTTATTAGGTTGTATTGCTTGTCCTCTCCCTGAGAGGGTAAATAGGTCTGACTTAATTGGTTCTTGACTTATAGTCGACCAAAACTTGTCTGGAAAACTGCTGTTGTGGTGCGGAATACTTTGTCTTGACAGATCAGTGACGTAATTGACAGTAGGTACAGTACTTTTGTTGTTAAAGTAGTCATAGGAAATGTGATAAATGCTGTTTGTATGATTTGCATTTTGCTTTTGTTTATTTAATACTATTTAAATGGTCTGTGCACGAAATGAGACAGTGGCGAAGTGCAGAGAAAATTTTTAGTAGGATTGTTAAATAAATTTAACACAAGATAGTCTTCGTCCCCTGGGTAACTCAATAATAGTTCTTAATACCTGGAAGCTGATACAAAGGTTAGGAAAGAAAAGAAAAGAAAAGAAACAGATGATAAAAAAAAAACATTTTAACCGAAAACAAATAATTTAGGGATTAAACAAAAACGAAATCTCAATTATAAATATTGAAATCTGCCATTTCACTAATATATTGTTTTTTAAACTTTTTTTTTATATTCGAGCGTCACTAATGAGTCTTCTGTAGACGAAACGTACATCTGGCGTACAACATCGTAATCCTTAATTTTATGACGAGTTTATTTATTAACTAACATATACACGGTAAATCGTAGAAATATAAAACAATAAAGGACAATTTTTTTATCTATATTTCTAATCTGATATTCTACAATCAGCCCATGTAAAAACAATGTCAGCATTTTAAAACCATAACACTAACGACTACTTCCCAATATTTATATTCACAGTGGGACCAATGAAAAATGTCAAATGGAACACATTATACGTGGTGCAGATAGGAAACAGCACCATGTTTTGGATATTTCTAATTGCAGATAATTTGTGTCCGCTCACAAGGATGGTTGGTGTTCGTTATTTTGTTTTCTTGGTAGTTACAAGGACTTTTCTAACGTATGGTTCTAATGTATTAGATTGCCACAGAGTGAAAACAGGACTCAATTTAGATGGCAAATATTACCGAATAACACAATTCAAAGATTTCAATTTGTTCCGGTTCATTGATTCAGAACATTTTTCGTTTTTCTTTCTACGACTCGCAGCAGGATGCATGGCTCATCTTCAGGAAAAACAGAAGGTTGGAAGATTTATAGAAATATCATCGTTTGATATTGAAAGCATCTTACAAAAGGACAGTTGTCGAAATGAAAGCGAATTCTGCCACATGTCCAACAATACTCATGGACTCTCGGTTCGGTTCGTAGATACAAAACCCATTCCTTATTTCTCAGAATTAAACGTGTATTATGTAGACAAGTACTGCACAGAGTCACTGTTATCAGTCATTGAACGGAAAGGGAACAATTTTTCTTTATCAGATTTCACCAAAGTTTTACAATATGACAAACTTGATTGTAAGCGATATCTTCGATTTAACGAGGAGAAAAATTTCGTGCAAACTAAACCTCGCAATGATAGGGAAAACCTCGAATTTAGTGCTTTGGATATCATTGATACAAACGTGTTACGCCTGCCTAACCTAGAATGTCTTCAGATACCAAACACGTACTTCAGTTCATTCGACGTTAATGACGCATGGAAACCTGGTAGTTGTTCGTTTGATATCAATTTAGAATGCAAGAAGAAATGGATCTTCATGGCGGAACCTGTTTGGCATTATATTCAGCTTATGTTGTCAACTGAAATAACATTGGTTAATACGTTTGTTTGCTTTCTTTTTCTTCAAAAGAAGAACCGATCACCCGTTACTATATTGTTGTCAGCACTAGCAGTATCAGATTCTCTCTCCAATCTCTTGACAGTAATTCCAGA